GCTGAGGGGTTTGTGGTAGTATTGAAGTTCTTACCAAGCCATTGACCAGATTTAGGATGTATGTCACGTGTCAATGACGCACCAAGGCCTGCCCCGATGGCAGCAAAGATCAATGACGCAGTGCATTTGAGGGATACAGCATATATCTTCCGACCAAGAAGCTGAAGTTCCTCTGTTGTATTAACTTCTTCTATATCATCCTTAGAATACCAAAATAGACGCAAGATGGTTTTGTATACATCGTATCCAACTTGAAAAATCCAAGATGCTGCCACTCCTAGACAGTGAGCTGCTCCAATGGGAAAATAAAAATTCACCCCCAAGCAAGAATCAAGCAGAGATAAAGTCAGAATTGAAATCTCAAAAAGGTAAGTAAGAGGGAAACTTTATAATCAAAGAATCACCTCTGGCAGTTGTTCTAGTAACAGCACACATGTAAGAAGTTATTGGCAGTCCTCGCTCTGCCTTACGCACAGAAGATTTAGAAGCATCTACAGACAAATGGCAACGCAATATATAAATTGGTGTCAATAAATGTTCATTTTTTCCCTGCTTATATATATACAGCATGGTGCAAATAGCAAAGGTAAAGTGGAAAATTAGATTAGCTAAGTATACAGCATACCTTTGATAAGCTTCCATGCCATCCGTTGGGAGAAATAAGAGACGGCTAGTCTTTCTAACACCCTCCTTGTAGTAATGACAGTACTCTGAGATTTAGGGAAAAACGGACAGTCTCAGTGCAAAACAAAGAACCACTTTATTACAATATGACTATACAAGGAAAGCACACACTTTATCACAACATGAATATGCAACGAAAAGGGCAAAGACTCTTCTTTCATTTTTGAGTGATTGGTACAATTTGTGAAAAAAGAAGTTTAAGTACCATCACAGAGCAAGACGGAGACAGAAAGATTGAAGCTAAAAACTTGCAAGAAAGATATGCTAGTGACTTACACAACAAAGCATTAGTCCTAAAATGATTTGGGTATGCTAAAGAGGCTCAAAGCTAGAAGAGCGGGAGGTAACCAGAAGAGAGAGCAATAAAAGCTACATTAGTTCTTTATTTCTTTGGGACAATAAATATGAATAGGGAGATATGTTATCAGTGGGAATTAAACATAGGGAGAATTAATAGAAAGAGAAAAATGTTCATGTAAAAGGAGAAGTACTAATTCGATTGGCTTAACTAGAACCTGAACTGCAAAGAACCATTGTAATCTCAACATACTTATCATATCAAGATTGAAACTCTCTCCTAATATACGGAGATTAGCAATCATAAACTGCAAAACTCGATGCAAGGCCTCAAAAAGTTCTATTAGATCAAAATTTCAATAATGGTACTTTGGCTCACTTCTGACAGCCTGCCAATTGAGAGACACCCTTAATTATCAAATCTAGCTAACCTATCCTTTATACAAGAAATATATCATGATTCATAGATAATTACGGCAGATAAATGAAGCAATTTATTGAGAAGGTAAGCAGACTAAGTAGAAAACCTTGCAGTTATTTGGCTATAATTAAAAACCAATTTCACATCAGACAACTGAAACCTATGTATATTGGATATTATCAAATACATAGAGACAAAGGTTGCCCACAAAATAACATAAGCACGTACACATTGGATATAATCACAGTACAAGAGAAAGTAGCTAGATCTCACATAAATTACTATTCAATGGCCTAAAGTTGTATTTGACAAAAAAAGAAGACATTGTTAAATATGGAATAGTAAAATACAACAAACCTCGCGAAAAGTTTGCCTGACTGCCTTGTGGAAGGGAGTAATCAAGTCTACATGCCTCTCTTCTGAATTATCAGCAAGGAAATCTTCATCATCATCCTCCAATGCCGCACGAGGCTCCAAAAGTGGTAAATAAAACATTAAAAATGATCTCAAGGCTGTAAGCGCAAATGTACTTGGATGAAAGGCTGAGAAAAGTGATTTTAGTTCATAGTTATAGACTTTTCCAGAGTATGATAGGGATTCAGGCTCAAAAGTATATCTAGAAGCGTCATTATCCTTGGAAACATGCTCATCATAAGCCTCAGTGATGTGATCCACATCCCATGTTGTACCAGCATCACAATAAGCAATTCTGTTATTGCTGTAGACCATTATATAAAGTTCATTAGGTGAACAAAGAACCTATAAATAATACATCAAATCCCAATCCCTAAAAAATAAATAGCCAAGTATTAATCCCAAACCAGAAGCTATTTATCTTAGGAAAACTGCTTTTAATTGTACCACAAATGAAAGTGTATAAATTCGACAATAAAATGAAACAGAACAAAGACTGAAACATAGTATTGTTTTGTTAGAAAGGTCAATTATGGCAAGGCATCAAAATTTTCAAGACTTGGACGCAATAGCCTCTTAAATTTGTCCAACAGAAATCAAGAACCAAATCATTGACAGCTACGCCGTTTAAAGCTTCTTTCTTTCCAACTATTTTGTAACCAGTATATCACCATTCAATAAAAACTCTTCAGCTCAAAAATACAAAGCAGTAGACACTATACATGAGATAATAATAACACAGCAGTATAATCAAATCCTCTACTAAATACTGAGGTTCTATTGCACTACGGCTAACAGTCACATGCCCACTATGATTGACAGATACAAATGCAGCTTGAAGATGAATTTTAGAACACGGCTTAGTAAGAGTGTAAACACCCAATGTGCAGAATAGTTCATGTATCCGACCTCGCCTTACAATTTCAAAAGATCTCTAAAGTAGGAGTACACATAACAGTTCAATTTAGTTCAGTTACTTACAATCAAACCAATGAGAAAGATTACAACTTTATAGCTCGTATAGTAGGAATACACTGATATAACCCACTATCCATATTCTTTAACAGAAAAGGCTCGAATTTACTCGAAGACGGACATCGCTAATCAAAGTCTACAATCAAACAACCCCATAAACATAAGGGAGGCAGGAATATATGAAAATCTTCATCCACACTGCTTACAAATAACCAATTTACTCGTTTACTCTATTCAATTGACAATGTTCCAACCATATTATATCAATTAATATGCATATTAATATTAAAATCAAGACATACCAACATCAATTAACCAAAACCCCATTCCAAAGTATATAAAACAACATCAATTAACCAAAAACCCATTATACGATCTCAATTTTTTATAATATTAAACTACAATTAGGAAAAAAAAAATAAAAATTACCTTCCAAGAAAAGCCTTAAACCCAAAAGGGTAAGAGGCAAGAACAGAAGCGGCAGCGCCAGAGACTGCAGCTTTAGCAGATAATGAACCAGCTGAATGCAAAGTATGTGTTGAATAAAAGTTGGGATTTTTCCTCATCAGATCTAATATTAGAGCAATTCCTGACATTTTTCAATGATTTTTATAAACCCCCTTTGTTAAATTTGATCTCAAACCCCAGAAAACAAAAATACCCAATTCAATCAACTCTTTTTCACTCAAATCAATTCAATAAATCCCACAAAAAAAATTGAGGATAATTAAATAAAGATTGAAACTTTGGCCCTTTGGGCACTTATTTTTTCCTTTTTTGTTTTTTTTATTTTTTATTTTTATTGTATTGATTGGTTTTAAAAGAATTATATCATGAAGAAGAAGTTAAGGTGTAGAGAACTAGAGCAGTGAGTTGGGGGGGAGAGAGAAAAAGGTCGTTGGAATTTGTAATAAGTTTTGGGTTTGAGGGTTTTAACTAGAAAGATTAGCTTAAGCTTAAATTAAGGCTTGAGCTTTAAATCTTTAATCCTAGTAGACTTCTGACCAATCTAGCTTTTAAAGTTGAACACTTGAACTGCTCTTATTGTCGGTTTCTTGTTCGTCTTAATTCTTAAGTTTCCTCTATAATGAAAATCATTAAAGTGATTAGTGATTGATTATCTAATAATCATGGGAGATTAAAGTATTAAACAAACCCTCTATTAAGGAGTTTTTGAGTTAAACCTAAATAGATTATAATTAAATAGATACTCCGTATGTTATGATATTATTCAGATTTCATTAAAAAAAAAAAAATTAGGAACCTATACATATTGTTATTAAATTATTAGCATATTTATATATTTTTTTTAAATTTTCTCTAATGTAATTTGATTTAATTACTAAAATATATTAATCTCAAACGGTGCTTTTTCTGTGTGGTTGCCACACCATGTGGCCGAAATTACATATTCAGGGGTTACTTATTTAGTTGTTACTCAGTCGGTCAAGGGTTACTTATTATGGGGTTATTCAGTCAGTTAGTCTGTTTTCACCGGGGTTACTTATTAAGGGTTACTCAGTTGATTAAGGGTTACTGATTTTCGAGTTACTCAGTCAGTTAGCATGTTTTTTGTGTGAGAGTAACCCCTAACCGATCGAGTAACCCCTGATCGACTGAGTAATCCCTGAATAAGTAACTCATGACCGACCGAGTAATCGTTGAATAAGTAATACCGGGCATACGGTGTAGCCAGCTACATATAAAATTTGTGAATCTCAAAAATTAAGCTTTTCACCAATTAATAATATAAGGTTGAGTGAGATTTTACACAATTTGAAATGGATCACGAATAGGTTTATCAACAAATATGAGTGGGTTGTTTGTAAGTCTAAACAATAAACAAACCATGGAAATTTTGCTAGCAGATTATGTTATTAGCTTTTTTTTTCCATATAATATATGTGTGTGTTGTTTCCTTAAAGTATATTTTACGCATCTAATTCCTTTTACCTTAACTCTTTAAGGCATATAACTTCTTATACGCTCAAATTAGTTAATAGGGATGATTCAAATTAATTCACAATTAAACTAAGTATAGATGAGTTCATTACGTGAACCATAAACTAACATAAGTTAGGTTCATGGATAATTAACATCGAAGTAAGATGGTTTTGAAAAGTCAAATATTAGTGGATCAAGTTCATGCAATTCCAATTTTTAAAATATCATGTTGAACTTTATAGGTGAAATTCAATTTATAATAAAACTCTTGAATTTCGATGGAATAATTAAAAAAAATTAAAATGATTGCATAATTGAGTATTGCTTTCAGTTTTTTACTTTAAATTTAAATTCATAAGCAAAATTAGTTCGGATCAGGAAAAAAAAAAAAAAAAAACAAAACACGTACAAGTGTATAACCTCAAATCTCAATTCAAATCTTCAAAGTAGTACGTACACTGTACACAGACACAAGGTACACAACTCAAATTCTGCATTAGACTTTTGTGCATTTTATTCAAACTATTGCCGCCCACAATTCTTACCAATTCTAACTCAATTGAATTCTTCCAGGAAAATCAATATGAACCCTAATTCCATCAAACGATTCAAACCCAAATTATCGAATTAATCTTCGAATCTAAAATCCAAATATAATTAATTTGGGGTTTCCGGAAAAGGGGAAATTAGGGTTCATAATTTACACTCAAATTCCAGAAAATGCAATTAGGTGATCTTAACAAAGTTTGGGAAATTAGAGCTTTGAAAAGAAAGCCGCGACAAGATGAAGCAAAGCAAATTCTTGAGCGCATTGCTAAACAGGTTCAACCAATTATGCGCAAACATAATTGGCGGGTTAAAGTTCTCTCTGAAATGTAGTATGTCTCCCGCCTTTTTTGATTTTTTTTCTTTTTTTTTTTTCCTGATTTTTACATTCTTTTTGTTTAGTGTAAGTGTGAATTTTGTTGTTAAAAATTCCAAATTTGTTGGTTTTTGAAGGATTGGAGCTAATATTTCTGTTTTTTTCATGTTCAATTTAAAGTGGTTCCTAAATACCTATGTTCATATTGTTGATTGTTGAAGAATGGTTGTGTTTTTAGGTGATGTTATTTGAACTTTCGATTTTCTTTCGAGTTTGATAGTATGTGGTAGGAAAGTGTAGATGGTTGTTAGGTGATTGTGGCATGATTTTAAATTTTGTTGGTTTTTGTTTTGTTGCTGCATTGCTGTTCTTGATGTATAGACAATGGGCTCTTTATAATTGAATTGTAGCTTGTAGATCATGTACATTTTATAGCACTCTTGAGCTTTGTCCCCACTGCTGAACCTCGCGCCATTGTACCTAGGTTCGAGAAAAAACGAATTGTGCAGTTGAGTATACAGGATGAAACCTTTCAGGTTTCTAGCACCCTATTGTTTTTTCTGTTATGTTATACTAGGGACAAGCATGGGTTCCTTGGATTGAGTAGAAATCTGAGTGTTGCAGCACATACACACGCATACAATGTTTATTTTTCAGATCTTTGGGGTTTGCCTGGATGTTTAATTTCTATATTGCATCTCATCGACTTAATAGAAATTCACTTGCTGGCCTTGCAGTCCCAAGAGGAATGAACTTCTTGGATTGAATGTTAATCGTGGGGTAGAAGTGAAGTTGAGGCTTCGGAGGCCTGGCAGGGAGTTAGAGTTTTACTCATTTCATGAAGTGTTGGATACAATGCTTCATGAGCTTTGCCATAATGCCCATGGCCCTCATAATGCGAGTTTCTATCAGCTATGGGATCAGCTTAGAAAGGTCAGCATCAAGTTTCATACATAGTTTTAGTTATGTGACAGTCTCTATGAGCTTATGAAGTGGAAGCGTTTGATTTGAATGTGTGAGCTGACTATAAAGTAACATTTTACTTTCTAGAAACCCTAGTTCATACAACATGAGTTTATTAAATGTTATATAAAATTTTAAATTCAAATATATGGCTGGACCATAACAAATCAAGGTTCTTTTTGGGCATCAAAATCTGTTCGTTTAAATAATATTTGCTCTCTGCTTAGTTACCAGATATTCATCAAAGGAATTGCCGATCCCCTTAGGGTAGTTAAACTCATGAGTTGTTACTTGGGGACTCTTCAATACATTTTTCATCTGTGTATTTTGTGCAGAATGGTTTTACTTAGTTTACCCAAGGCTGTAAAATAAGCCATTACATATTTACATAAGCAGGTTTTGTAGTTACTTTTCCTCGTCATTTACTTTTTCCCCAACAAACGCAGGAATGTGAGGAATTGATGTCCAAGGGAATATCTGGCACAGGAGAAGGCTTTGATCTTCCTGGAAAACGTTTAGGTGGGTTCTCTCGTCAGCCACCTCTAGCTTCCCTCCACAAAACGACCCTGGCTGCTGCTGAAAACAGAAAACGTCTCAATTCCCTTCTACCATCTGGACCTTTACGGCTTGGTGGTGATAAAAACATAATGTCTTCGTTAAGCCCTGTTCAAGCTGCTGCCATGGCAGCTGAAAGGAGACTACAGGATGAAATATGGTGCGCTTCCGTTTCTGGTGGCTTTGCTGAAGATTTGGGGGATTCTGATCTCTTGGAAACAGTAGTGCCCTGTGGGCCAGCTGCTGCTAGTGCCAGTTCAAATGCCTCTGATATTAACAATGTACATTCTGGAGCTGCAGCATCTTGTAACAGGTCTCAGAATAATGTTACAAATCTCATTGATTTAAGCAACAATGTAAATTCTACCTCAATTGATGTTCGTGGCACCAAATTAAGTAAAAGATCCATTTGTTCCCATGTCAGTTCATCTGCTAGTGCCAGTTCAAATTCTAATAATGTCTCTGGAGCTGCAGCATCTCGGAAAAGGTCTTGGAATGGTGATATTACCAATCTCATTGATTTAAGCAACAATGAAAATTCTGCCTCAGTTGATGCTTGTGGCATTAAATTAAATAAAGGATCCATTGGCTCCAATGCCAGTTCATCATCTTTATCCATGAGCGTCTCATCCTCTGGGTTAACTAATCTTGATGCGGAGAACACACATGGAGAGTCTGCCACATGGACTTGTGAAACATGCACCCTGTTGAATCCTGTGAGTTACCCTTTAGTAATTTATGTGTATTTTTCTGATATCTTGCATTTTGTTAAATGGCACTCTGCATCAAAATTTTGCTTTAGTTTATCCATTGTTTGATTATCTACTTACACAACCAGAATGTTTTTGTTTTTGTTTTATTTTTTTTTTCCATTCACGTCATTGGTTAGTATGATCACATTAAGCATAAACACTATGTTTCGTAATTTACATCATTGGATGAACAATATTTGTAGCAGGTTAAGGGCAAAATTGATCAATTTTTAGCCTAGGGTTTTTGTTTTTTTACAATTTTCTTAATATATAATGAAACTTCAGCATGCAAACATCATGGAGATGGAGGTGGTATATTGTACTCGGTATTCATTAATGTTAATCATGAAAATTTTGCAGCCACTGGCTCTCGTATGTGAGGCATGTGAAACCCTGAAGCCGAAAGATATATCAGTGAAGTATAAATTCTGGTCCTGTAAATTCTGTACCTTGGAGAATTGCGTGAAACTGGAGAAATGTTCAGCATGTGGTGAATGGAGATACTCACGAGGTCCTCCGTTGTCATCATTGCCTCCTAATCTCGGCACTTGACAAGAACAGTTGAAGTTAGCTTGTTTTGGAAGTATGTAAATCTCTCAGTTGCTATATTTCTGCCAATGCATGCTTATGCATATTTGACTTGGTTTATTTATGAGATGGTCTTTTAGGGCTCCTGTTGATTCAAAGATGCTGCTGAAAAGCTACGAGAAAGATAGTGAATATTTTTGGTACTTATTTGTAAATTGGGCTTCGTTAAGTCTCATATTGGTCGACTAATTGTAGAACTAATTTCTACATAATTTTGATACTCGCTCCCCAAGAGATGCTGAAGCTGTAAAGATGACATTCATTGTGCCTATTTTGGTTAATTTTTTTCAATCAAGGAGAAAGAATATGTGATTTTCTACCTAGTAAATGAACTTTTCGTTTTCCCAACTATTTTTTGGCTAGTAGTTTTTAACCCGTCTACAACAGCTTTTGGAGGATTTGGCTCCTTGCACATTAGATTCACAAATTTCAAATTTAATCCACTACTTGTCACAACATTAGTTGGATTGATTACAGATTTTGTTTGGATAATTGGATGACGTCTAAATACACAGCAAGTACAAATTCCAAGTTAAAACTTTGGGTAATATTTTTTTTTTTGGTTGTAGACGGGATTTGATCTTATTCATAAATCATTGAGATTAACTGATATTTATAACATTTGCAAGCAGAGGAAATTGACCATGTAGCAAAAATACTTCTTTAGCAAGTAGCTACTATTCAAACAGGAGCCCTTATCGTACAGAAAAATGTACCAAAGTGCATCTGAACTGAACCTTTTGGTGGCAACACTTCCCCTATTTTCATTGAACTAGCAGTTTTTACAGGAATATAAGCAATTATACAGCTTGCATATTTTTTTGGTGGAAAATAAAGCTTACAAACGCTGGAAAAATTAACAAAGCTAACTTAATTCTGCAAATTTTTAACACAAAAAAATCCATCGAGACAGGCTTTTTGATCTTCATCTGCAACCACTGAAATCTAGCAATTTTTACAGGTCCTGGAAAAAGAAAACAATGTCAGTCTGGTACATGAACATATAACGGCAAACTTTGTAGCAAGATAAAAGTTATTCAAGCCATCATGATTATATATCTAGTTCCAACTCAAATCGTATTAAGCCATCAAAATCATGGCTGTCATATATAAATCTAGAGTCCCTTAAACATATGCGTATTTTGAATGGTCGTTTGATCTCCCAAGTTCCTCCAGCAATCAAAGTTTAATAAGGTGATAGTTTAATGTTAAACTAGTTTTGAGTCATTCAGTCCGAAAAGTAGACTGATGACTTGAGCAGTCTAATACAATAAGTAGACCTTGAGAGTTCTTACCCAAGATCTTCAGAGCTTAACTTCCACATCGACACCTGCAGGGAGATCAAGTTGCATCAACGAGTCAATTGTCTGGGCAGTTGGGTACAATATGTCAATAAGGCGCTGATGAGTTCGGATTTCAAAGTGGAATCGGGCATCCTTGTGCACATGGGGTGATTTGAGTACACAATATATCCTCTTCTTTGTTGGTAATGGTACAGGCCCCATTGTTTTTGCATTTGTCGTCCTTGCAGCATCCATTATCTGCTTGCAGGAGTCTTCTATCAAGGGGACCCAGTAGGACCTCAGCTTAATTCTTATCTTCTGCTTTGGAGCCATCTGAAATTACACATAAACTTACCTTAAGCAAAGATTTCAGTTTAAACCAGTCAAATATAAGGAAAAGATATTTACGATGTCTAGAGTCTCCCAGGCTTCAGGGTGTTACTTGGATCTTAAAAAAGTAATTGTGTCAACACTAAACACTAAATTTGTTAAATTCATTTTTCCAAGCTGAAAGCATGTCAGAAAATTGGAGTGCAAGAAAAAAGTTCTTGATGAAGAAAGTGTGATCGTCTCAAAAGCGATTTCAGACACTTCAGAGAGGGATTTGCAATAAAAACACTTTTGATAAGCTTTCAATGTCAGTTTATAAATCAGCTAGGAAGTGAGATACTTAGATGGGTTGGATAGAAGATAGCCAAAACTGCAAAAGGGCTTACAACTGTTAAAACGTTTATGGCAAACATTAGATGAGCTATGTTAGAAGTTGTGCTTGAATTGCATCTATTGGTGATGTATGGAAGGTACAGGCATATAGCATGAACTAACAAGGTATTGTCTGATCGTCAGAATGTTTGAACAATACAGAGACTGTGCTTATAGAAGAGTGAGCTCAATTAGGCAAAGAAGAAAGCAAGGGAACTATACGTAGAAGACCTGCTTAAGTTGCATCTGTCTATGAAGTATGAAGGGAAGGGCATGGTAGGAAAAAAAAAGAGCCAGAAAAATGGATGCAATCATGAACGAGAGTATGTTTCAACTCTCAAGCAGGATCAACATCAAATTTGATGGTGAAATTAATTGTAATCTAGTCTAATCTTCCATGGGTTTGTTCCTGATTATTGTTTGTTGCAATAGAATTAAGCTGCTTTCATTGAAAAGAGCTTAGAGGTATTTGTAATTCATTCGTGTCTTTGAAGTTTGTATTTCTCTGTCCTTTTCTTCTAAGGACTTCAGACTTGGGATAGGGGTTGCTCTGATTTTAATGTCTTTGGAGGGTGGTAAACCACCATCCGTATATGAACGAAATCAAATCATTGCAGAATAATACAAAACAAATGCTAGTCATTCAGAATTTGTGCCCCCCCCCCCCCCCAACCCCCTCCTATCCACAGAAGAAAAGGAAAAAGATTCAGGGTTAGAGATGAACAAAGCAACTCAAAGCTGTATTTCCTGCTATAGCAGTGTAGTCTTGCAACATTATCTTCTCTGTTCAATGATCTATACTCAGCGCAACAAAAGGACTCTTAATGAGAGAACTACTTACGAACCACGGCTTGTGTGAATATTGAAAATCAGCTTTTGACTGTCATCCCAATTTACAATTCATCTTCACTATCTAAGCATAGAGGATGACTCTAGACACAGCGATGAAGAGGTTCACAACTTTCAATGACATGTAGGTTCAACAAGGAAAGGCAGGCAAAATTAAATTTCATAGTGATGCATTAGATTATCACATCTATATAAGACTATAATGCTAGAAAACATAAAGGTCTTAAGTTTGTAGTCTATATACACTCAAGATACTTATACAACCTGGAAACATGGTTGACTCCAGAAACTTGTTCCAAGCACCCTTACAGTGAAAGTGACAAGACATAAGAAAAAAGAGCTTAACTATGGAACATCGATGGCAAATTTTTGCGTGGGTTTAAGCTTTATACACTAGCTATCTTTAAGTTATTCAACATGAAATTTTCGAAATAATTTAACTCTGTAGCATCAGGAATAGCAACCAAGGGAAGAAAAGCTCAATACCTGATCAGAGTCAGTACCAATGCTGAGAGTGGAAGTCTCAGAACCATCCTACACAACAGAATAAAACAACCATAAGGAAAGAAGAAACAAACTATTACCTTCATCTTTGACAAAAACAACATAATCTATCATAATGTCACACCTTACACAAGCACACCAGCAAAAAAAACACAAATCTTGTTACTCTCAATTTTCATTGCACCCCGACACCAAAATACTAGAACACACATGCCCGCACACACATACACACATCAACAGGAGACTGCTGCAGTGTAAATGACCCACTTAAGATGCACTTATATCACAATTACATTCCACAACAAGCACATTATTCCAAGACATATTCCTCTTAAGCTAACGAATAAAACCAGGAATTCAAAGGGATTTTTTTTTTTCCACACTAAAACTATGCACATAACATATAAATTTAACTTCATTTCATATTAAAACTTAGCAAAAATTTCTCAACTACAAGCTCACAAGTAAAACCAAGAAGCACTATATAGCAAATTTCAGAACATCAGAGCAAATTAATGATTTAATTATCTAAAATCAAAATTATTATATACACATTTCACAAAAACAAACAATTTACAAAATTATGATTTTCTCATCTCAAAATTCAGCACAAATTACTCATTATATACCAAATTTAAGAATATCTAAACAAAGCAATGACTCAATTATCCAAAAATAACAAAATTATCAAATACCCATTTCACCAAAATATGCAAATCACACAATTAAGAAATACCCATCTCAAAATTCAGCACAAATTACTCACTACAAGTTCAAAACCAAGAAACTAACACAAATAATACAATAAATCCCTATATTAAACCAGAAAATCAGACCTGAAATGAATCTGGGGAAGTTTCGACAGCCTCCAAAGTTTCAGGAGCAGCAAAAGTAGTGAAATTAGAGGAGTTGGAGAAGGTGGATGATTGTTGAGTAAGAGTTAGGGTTCTTCTGAGGTTTAAGAGAGAAGGAGAGGTAAAGTCAAGTTTGGTTGAAGAAGAAGATGTATTACGAATTGTAAGAGGAGAAAATAAAGCAGCTGAAATCGAAGAAGTCGCCATTGTTGTCACCCAAACACGCCTCTATCTCTTCTCTCCTCCCTTAGCCTAGTGGTTTGGTTTTACAGGGTTATGTTATCCGAAAACTTTCTTTTCTTTTTCTTTTTTATTATTTTTTTCCAATTGTTTTTAAAGGATTATTTTTTTAAAAAAAAATAAATTACATCCTCCGTTCTTTTACAGTTGACCCGCTTTGACTTTTACAAGAAAAAATATATACATGCAAGATTTTTTTGAATTTGTCTCAATGAGTACTATCATAATGTATAACTTTTTTAATTTTTACTTATGAAGAATTAAACTTATTAATCGTTAAAGTTTTGCATTGACAAGCGTGATAAAATAAACAAGTCAAGTAAAAAAAACAGAGGAAGTATTTATTAGACTTTTGCTTATTTGGCGGTCTGTAATCTTTACAAACCGCTACTATTAGCCTATGGTCATTTTACAGGCTACGAAGTACAAACACATTTCAGGCAACAATCTAGTGATTATAATGACTTTTTTTTTCTTGGATAGATGAAGCATTTTAGCAAATAACCATATTAAACGTTGTTGTGATGTATAAGAGTGGGCCACATAACTTTGGTGTCTGATTATGTAAAGGGCTTCTTAGCATGAAAGTATGGAAGTGTATGAATGTAAAGTAGTCTAGTTGGTAATAAAATAAGCGAAGGAATGCCTAAGAATGAGTAATGTTTGCGTCAAACATTGCATATTGTTAGATTATTGTAGAAATATAGGCGAGATTCAATTTCAGCTCATACTTTAACCGATTGAAGTAGTTGGTGTCCTCCATTTGTGATTCATATGCAATGAAGAGTAATATTACATTTCAATGATGTAATATGGAGAGTCAAGCATTTAAAAACTAATTAATTTAACTAGTTTATTAAATTGTTTAAATCAACTTCTTGACATAAAAGAGAATACTTATAATCTATTCTCTTAATGATGAGTAACTTATCTATATATCGTGAATTAAAGGACATAAAAGAGGATATCTTCCAAAAAAAAAAAAAATCATCCTATAATTTCTATAGTTGTTCATAGAACAATATACTCCATATCCTTTATGAGACCTTAAGTCAGTTCAATCAAATTTCTAAGAGGTTCTCTTACTTCTCTATACTTTAATGTTTTATCAAAATTTTCAAGAGTAAAGAAGATATAGAACAAACCATTAAGCATTGCCATTAAATTGTACTTCATATGAACCAACAAGCTACACAAGTTAGCATGCATCCAGTGCACAGCTATTTTGCCTATTTACTTTAGATGTAACTATGTAACATAACATTTTCAATAAGCTTAAATATTGACTTGTACACAAAACTTTGAAAATGGATTTATTGTAAGTCAAATCATTCTTATGAACAAATAGTAACATTGTCATATTGACATACATCTTCTTTGAACGAGACAATGATGAAGTTTCTTGAGCAAATAGAATTTCTTGGGCGTGACATGCACACATGTGATATGCTTACTGAATTAAAGTATATTCACAAAATCATACTAACGATAAATAAAGTACGTTATACACTCATCATCTCTTATTCAAAAGTTGAATTGTCGAGAGTTTTATTCCTATATAATTCTTATATACATCTTTCTCTTTTTCTATCAATTAAGGCGTTGAGAGTTTGATTCTTATAGAAAACTGATTTCCTCTTTCAAACACCCACACTAAGTAGACTCTACATAAACCAATCCAATATACACACATTCTTTATTTTTTCGAAATTGTTATTAGAGTTTAAGACTATATGTAGAAGTCTAGGTTGTAAATGCATTGAAGGTGTGATTTTATACAAACATTTTTAGATACTTAAAACCCACATTAATGGCAAGTACAACGGCATAGTGCTTGCTCAAATAGAAAATTTTCATTTTTCCCATGACTCTTTGCCTCACTTCATTATTTTATAGGCTCTTACAATATGAATGAAACAGTAAAAAAAAATCAGCAAAAACATTAATATTAACTATTTAAGGCAGTTATTTTAACTCCTTCTAGCTTCCTCTTTAATAACTACCCCATTAAAATTCACTCATAAAAATATTTTTTTGAGGGAAAGGATATAACCATAATTAAACTTTAAATTATTTATTAAAAATTAAAATCAAGAACATGTAACCATTTTCTTTGCTCTCAAGTTTAACCTCACTTTCTTAACTACTCATTCTTTCACTGAACTTTTAGAACAATCTCAAAAAAATGCAAATTCTCAACTCCTCCATTATCACTACAATTTCATCTTACCCAAAATATAAATTTGGGATTATAATAATTCTAACACTCTTTTTATGACACCCATTTTTCATCAAATTAACACAAAAATAGCAGAAATTAACCAGCATTTACACTCAAAAATTAAATTAGTTTACCACCGAAGTGTCACACAAAGTAGACGCTCCAAGTATTAAATTCTCTCTCCTTTTTCACATTCCCATCAAAACCAACAATACCCACTTCAAATTTCATCAAATCCTTCAATTTTAGCAATTACCCACACAAATCCACATAATTTGAGCTATGTTACTGAGAAAAGTACAGATACTCTGTTTTCTGGGTGTTTTAGTTGAGTTGGGATTTTGTCAAAATTTTACCAGAAGTTTTGCAAGAGATTATAATTATATAACATGGGATGATATTAAGGTTGATGATTATAAATATTTGGTGTCAAACAGTGAGATTAAAGATAAGCTAAATTGGAATAATAGTGGGGTAATTGTGGTTGATCAAAGTGGAAAAACAGGGGATTCAATTACTGTTCAAGGTGCTGTTGATTTGATTCCTTCTGGGAATTCTCAGAGAATTAGGATTCTAATTCTTCCTGAAATTTACAGGTATTTTGTAAATTGAAATTTGATGATTTTTGCAGAATTTTGTATGTTCATTATTTTTTTTGTGCAATTTTTGTTTCTAGATTTTCTGCGGTTACTGAGTTGGCAGTTCTGGTGTTTTGAGTCGTATTTTTGGAGCTAGTGGGTGTTTACCGCTCGACAGTTACGCTGGACTTTTTTCTTTTTCTTTTTTTTTTTTTTTGTAAATTTTTTTTTTCTATTTTGTTTTTTTGGAGCGGAAATTTAGGTCGGGTGCTTTTATTGCAAATCATGATTCGCCAAAACAAGATTATTTCGAGGGAATGAGACTATACATGACTAACTCGAGTTTCGAACAACTATGAGTGTTTCATCTTGCTACTAGATGAACCACAAAGTTAGATTTTGCTTCCCCCGCGTTTTTTTTTTTGTGGAAAGGAAAAACTTCGTACCTACTAAGTTCTAACTTGGGAAATATTTTGGGAATTGCTTGTTGAAGTGAACGAGACATTTTGGTTATTGATGGAAGTAGTATGATTTTATATGAATGAAGAAAATTAAACAATATGTATCGATAATTTACTATTCTCCTTTTTTTTTTTTTTTTGCTACGTACTTTATATCAAATCCCTATCAATAGGAATTAACACAAGGAATCTATATTTCAAGTTAGATTAATACAATGTTTGTTAAAAAAAATTTTGAAGTTATTTTTCTTTTTTTTGTGGAAAAAGTTGATAAGATTGAGACATGTACAAGTATTTGGTAGGAAAATCAATATATTTTGGTACTAGATAAGTAAATATACTTAATTTTGAGTATGATTTTTGTTGTTGAGCAGGGAAAGGGTAGTTGTACCAAGCTCCAAGCCTTACATTTCCTTCATTGGGACAGAAAACCAGACTTCTAATACAGTAATTACTTGGAATAACAAAGCTTCTGATAGAAATAGTAATGGTGCTGAACTTGGAACTTTTGGTTCAGCTACCATCAGCATATTCTCTGATTATTTTTGTGCATCTGAGATTACTTTTGAGGTACCTTCTCATTCTTTTTCTAGTATTAGAGACTGTAACCTTCTCGACGTGTCTTTTGAAAGGGTTGCTCGTCGACAATTGAACACAAGTAACCTTTTTTTTTTTCGCTTACATGATGGGTGCAGAATACAGTAGTGGCAATACCAGGAGGATTGGGGATGCAAGCAGTGGCACTGAGAGTATCAGCTGAAAGGGCAATGTTCTACAAAGTCAATATCCTTGGTGCTCAAGATACTCTCTTAGATGACACAGGATCACACTACTTTTACCACTGCCTCATCCAAGGATCAGTCGATTTCATATTTGGCAATGCAAGATCATTATATCAGGTAACCTGAAAACAAAACATTCCCTCTATCGCGCTTTAAAGACTTTTTGGCCTTTTATGTTCTTCTGATATTGAAGAAATACATACAACAGAATTCAGTTCTTCATTCAATAGCCAATCGATCAGGAGCAATTGCAGCACATCATCGAAATACACCTGAAGAAAATACCGGGTTTTCATTCTTAAACTGTACAATCAATGGAAGCGGATTGATTTACCTGGGAAGAGCCTGGGGGCCATACTCAAGAGCAATATATTCATACTGTGACATTGATGATATTATTGCACCAGAAGGGTGGAGTGACTGGGGTGACCCAGAAAGGCAGAAGTATGTATACTGAACTACGGCTAAAACTTGCATGATATATGAACAAAGATACGAAAAGTTTAACTATACTGATACAAATAATTCTGGTTTTGGCGTTATGTTTTTTAGGACGGCATTGTTTGGTGAATTCGAGTGCAGTGGGAAGGGAGCAAAACACAACAAGGCGGGTAAAATGGGCAAAGTCTTTCACTATTGAGGACGCCAGGCCATTTCTCGACATGGAATTTATTGACGGCAATAAATGGTTGAGACTATAGCTAACAGTAACAATCGGATAAAATATGTAGGACTAGTCACTTCAATTGGTTAGCTCTCTATGTAAACATGTACAATACAAAGCATACACAAAATTCTTTCAGTAAAAAAACACCAAATTGTTTCCAGCATATTGTCCTAAGATTCATTTTAAAGATTAACAACTCCAGAAAAGTTCATGTCTTCAAAATATAATTAGTCTACTCTCTACGAACCAATGGAAATTTGCAATACACTTAATCACAGTATATTTACAAAAGGTTAACGACTACTTTTGTTAGTAATGCCTTTTGAACTGTTGTTTGGAGTAACCAACAATGGCAAACATTAAGTGGTGGCTGAAAGTTTATTTCACTACGACTTTAGATCATACAAACTAGAAGTTCACCTTAACGTTACAACAGGAAACATAAAATCTAATTCACTTAAAAGGTACTCTATAACAGCTGGAATTTGATCCAAGGCATTTCCTAGGAATTTAACTAAGAAAACCAATTTGGAAGACTCACCTAATTGCTGTACACCTGGGAGTATTGTCTCAAATGCAAGATCAAATGCCATCAACATCACCTCTCGCTCGCTACAGGAAATCTACACTAGTTTGTACAATAACAGTTTGAGGAACAGCTCTAGCCTCTAAGCGACACCTGTGCATTCCAAAACTTCATCAGCCTGAGCAGTAGTTTCCACATCAGCCTGAGCAGCAGTTTCCACATCAGCCTGTGCAGCATTTTCCACATCAGCCTGTGCAGCATTTTCCACTACAGCCTGAGCAGCAGTTTCCACATCAGCCTGTGCAGCAGTTTCCACATCATCGGTACCTGATTCACCCTCCTTACAACCATCATCTTCATCGTCAACAATTTTCTGATCATCAACATCGCAGCACAAATCTTGCAAGCTGACATCATCACTTTTGTCATTGACATGGTCTTGCAAGCTGACATCATCACTTTTGTCATTGACATGGTGACCAGCATTATGATCATCTTTGTCTGAAGAGGAAATTTGTTCGGCATGGCCAACAGAAGAGGCTGGAGCAGGCAAGTCAACTAAGTTATCCTCATTTTCATTGTCTTTAATTTTGACGGCAGAATCATCAGCAGCATTTTCCTTCCCGAGGATTGAGACTATAGGTTGTGTAGCTTCAGCATTGATATCTGAAAGTATATTAGGATTCGCCTTAACATCAAACCATTCTCCACCCAACCAATCTCGGGAAACTCTGAGATCCTTTCTAAGTACATCTAAATACTTGTTCTCACCTGATAAGATAAAAAAAAAGTAGCATTAGAAAACATAAAATAGGCACATAAACTGATTAACTTAATGCCTGATGACTAAAAGGGGAGAAAAAAGGGACGGCTAGTACCTGGAACATAAACCTGTACTTTATCATTTCTGGCACTGTTAACTACAGTTACAACACCTTCCCACCAGCCATCACTCCACCATGCATCCACAGGAGCTCCAATTCCAAATTCAACATCTACAGCATCGCTGGCATCGCTGATGGAGGACAAGGCCTGATTGTAGGTCGTCCAGGACATCGCATGCCAAGCTTATCTGGTGCAGCCATCCTAAAAGCTGGAATCCATTCCTGAAATTTATCAAACAGCATAAATCAACAATGTCGACATATATTAGTTGTATCCTCAGAAAAAGTAAAGAACCAACCAACAGTAGCACATTACATATAGACTATACTCCCTCCGATTTTATAAGTGTTACATTTTGACCGGCACATAGTTTTAGGTGAATTAATTGACTTTAATATTATAAGATGTAAGTGGGGTAGTTGGGGTATTAAAAAAATTATAAGAAAATGTAGTAGAGTTAATATTGTATTAAAAGTAAGGGATGTGAGAGGGAAAAAAGTACAATAACAAAGTAGTTAGACATATTAGCAAATGCCCCTAATTAGTCCTGGAGTAAGTAAGCTAATGCTATTACTTCATCATGTTAGGACTTCAAAAGGGCAATATGAACTTCAACTATCAAAGAAAAGTTATAGTACTCTGTGAAGTCACGGTCTTGTTGCTAGAGCTCACTCAAAATATATTTTTTAATCCAGCAGCCCATTGAAGCAGTTACACAAGTAAATTTTCATCTCTAGATCACATAAAGATGCTATGCTGAGAAGAAATTCACTAGTTGCCAGAAAAGGAAAAGAGATCTCCAACCAAGAGAATCTCACAATCAAAACAAAAAATGCATTGCAAGTGATGTAACAGGAAGAACAGATCAACTGAAAGGAATGTAACATGCAACTGGCAAACAGCCCAAGCATTGATTTTATGATAGCCATGGAGTAGTTTATTTGCATAGCACTAAGACCATTACATTGCAATAGAGTATAAGGACACCACCAAATAAAATCAAATTTTAATCTAACTCAAACTTTAGCCAAGTGCACCAAACAGGGGTTAATATTTCCAACAGAACTAAATGGCCATTTGAATCTTATAACAGCCAGAAACAATGATCTTCAAGGAGAAAATCATTAAATGTCATTCCAGGCAGTCACTAAGCAACTCATCATGAATCAAATGCAAAAGACATTAATTGAGTACCTCAAGGTTTCCACATCCATCTTGGTCCTCCAGATCCCTATATTGGAGCTTCATCTGCTTTCGAGATATCTCCAAGACAATACATCTAAACCAACAGCCTCGAATGCCACTGTCCTGGCACAGTAGCTCTATTTTTGTCATCTACCTTAAAAAACTGGATGTGTGACCGCTGGAATTCCCCATTCTTTAAAGAAAACAACCTCTTATCGCAAGCATCAGTGTTACCATTCTTAGAAAATGGTCCACGCATAAATTTCTTCCTTTCAAAGCCTTCCGCACCATGAGTTGTCAAAAAGCTTTCTCTGTCCCCATAATTCCTAGTTCTCTTAGTCCCTTTTGCTACATTATCATTTGATCCAAACATCTTAACTTTATTCCCAATCACCCCACGGCATACAGAGTCAGAATTCAGAAAGGAATCAGACTCTAAACAAGAAATATATAGGCTGATTATTTATAACCCCGCAATTTCCTAAGATCAAATGGTTTAATTTTGTTACTTCTAAACTGACGGCAACAAAGATGTAGCTTTCCCAGCAAAACCATCTGGAAGGCCCTCTAAGCATTTTTTCAAAATGCTCACGGGTTAAGACTATAGCAGGACCATCAACACACTCAACACTTATCACCTGCGTGTAAGGTGTAATGTAAACTTCCTTCGGGTGAGCATTCCGTATACGAACTATACCCTTCACTTCTTGACTGTGATGAAACCATCTGACTTTAACTTTCTTCATCCCCTTCTTATCTTCGTACATATCCTCTAGATAGGCAACATAACGATTTCCCTCTTTAGCCATCACAAATACAAATGCTTGAACCTGATAGCAGCAAAGTGGAATTCATTAGATTACAATCAAAATAACCCTAATGACTGAAAAGGTTACTTTCATGTGCAAAAGCCATGAAGATGTGAACCCATGACCCTTGCATGTAACTAGTCATTACATGGAACTAAATTTTTCAAAAAGGTAAAGAAATCAAAGTCTGGACGTTTTTTTCTTAATATTCAACAAGGCTCACTTTTCTCTCGTCAACCTAGTATAACACTGTTATGAGTGTTATCAGTTATGTAGTTCCTTAAATGGTTATTTCAGTAGTTTGATACCTTTTGAGGCATAGAGTTGAGTATGACATGCATAGGATACATGGACACTTCATCCAACTGCCATGTCCGTGTCAGACACCGACACTCGTGGGACACACGACGATACGTCTCGGACCGTATCCTACTATGATATGAACTGTTCAACTTTTTTTTAATGAGAAAATTTAAGAAAAATAAGATAAATAAGGTAATTTTTAAATAATATGGGTGCCTTCATATATAGCTCATTGTTAATATGATACAATATGATCTAATGAAAATGACGGAATGACAAATATATGGTCAAATTCTTTTTTTTTTTAAATATATTATATGAATTTTAACATCTCGTACCCGTGTCCCTTATTTTGAGATAAACGTTTTCCCGTACCCGTTTTGTACCCGATCCGTGTCAGTACCTGTTCTTGTGCAACCTAAGTTTTCTAGATAGTCTCTTGGTGGTCATCATAATTCTTAATTTAGATTTGAAAGCACAGATAAAGTAGGAGTAAAGAAGGAAAATTCAGCAATGGTCAGAGGCGTCAAGTGCATATTTGGCTGGGCACTGGGCAGGCAACATAAGTTGCATTGATGAATGCAGGGGTTTGACCTCTACCATTTCCAGAAATCAGCATGGATCACCATGCATATTGGCAAAACCATGGCATGTTATAGATACTGCTGAAGTTGGTCCGTGCACAACATATGACATGTAATATTGTAAATAATCTGCTACCTTATCCTTAAAGTTTTTTTCCCATGTTAATACCCACTCCCATTTGGACATATTCATGGTGTGAAGAGAAAGAGAGCTGTTTTCTCTCTTTTCCACGAGATTAGGGTTTCTAACAGGGTACTATACACATCCAATGAGCACCATTGAGATTGTAAGAGCCGGGGGATCTATTATCTTTGCACTCATTGATCATAGTGAATAGCAACCACCTTTAGAGTGTATTTGGATAAAGAAAGGCGAATGAAAAAAGAGGAGGTAGGGTGTGATGGATCCGGGTCAGCCACAGCCTATTCGGGTCTATGCTAGAAGGAAAGTCAATGGGGAAAACCAAGAAACCAAGACTAACGGTGGGATGTTCAAAGCAGGGGACCAAGTCAGCAAGATAAAAGGGTAGCAGAACCCACGGC